CATAAAATATGTCACTATAAACAGTGAGTAACATAAATACATGTACAAATTTCTGACGTGAAAGCTGTCACTACCTTAACAAAGTGTTGAAGAGGATCCACTATTAATTAGGATTGATACAAATGCACAAAAAATAAGTTTCGGCAGGTGATACGATAAGATTTAATAAGAATAAATTGCATGGCACAGAGGTCAAATATTGTTCTTTTTCAATAGGTATGCATTGCGAAGCGACAGTCGGGAAAACAAATTATTGTGTTTTAATGTGCACATTTTTGGTGGGTTAAATTTGCGCGTAGCCTACTGTAATGCCATAAAAAAAACAGGTTCTTGCTGTTGAAACCAATATTTTTAAGGTTTTAAAATCTTTTATATTTTAAATATAATGCCAAATTTTGTGCATCACTGAACATAAATTAAAAATTTGAATTTAACCGAGCAGGAAAATTATGTGAAACCCTATGGTCTCAGCTTATTGTGCAATGATTACCTAGGCCACATTGCAAGTTTTGGTTTTGTTAAATAATAAACGCATAAATGGGCAGACAAAATGCCAAAGAAATTAACTAGTTCTTATATAAATAATTATTTAAATATTTTGTTGACGCACCCTTGCTCTGGCTTCCCGGGTTGCCTCTGCTTCCGCTGCCATTGCACGCTGAAGTGCTACTGGAAGTCGCACATCTTTAATTTCGACGCGTTCAACCTTTAAAAAAGAGCGTTTAATGGAAGGTTAGCATAATCAATAGAAAACCTCTCCAGCGTTTTTCCTTTGAAGAAGAATCCCGCTTAGCAATTAAAAGACGTCATTATAAAAACAATCGGAATGACTTGCCACGCTATACCCTGCAACATCAAACGAATATGGATGTGTCTTTTCTTTATAGCTGGTTTAATCAAAGTGCTATATTTAGCAAGTTTAAAAGTAATTGGGTCAGGTGCTTGTGATTGGCTGAACTGCACTTGGATAAACCGGGCTAGGAAGAAGTATTCGCGTATCACTATTTTTGCATTTAATCGTATGACCTCTCTGCTGCTGAAGTGTACTATAAGCCAGTTTGATAGGAAAATCCGCACGCATACGTTTCTGGGAAACTTCCGACCCAGTTGTAACCAAAAATATTTAAATACTGATGTTTTCTAATTTCTGAGAATGTCTAATAAAACACCAATCGATAAAGTCGCGTGAAATAAATGGGAAAATCTTTAGGGCATTATATTTTTGCCTGTAGCGTATGCCTCAAAATTGGATGTTAGGTAATATATAAGTTGTTACCAACCTTGCACATAATACAATAATGTAAGAAATGTTATAATCATTGTAGCTGGATTCGACTGAATTATATAGAGGCAAAATGCCAACACAGGTACCCCAAAATATAATATAACTAGGTTTACTATAATGTCAGATTTGTGACTTAGTAAAATTTTATGGATGTTCGCAATGCCGGTATTCTAATTTCGATATAAAAGTAACACTTTTTCTTTATCTTCTTCTAGTTCAAGGTAGTAAGTTAATTCATGGACTACGTGTTGAATATGTAGGGCTTAAGTCATCTACTGCATGCTAAAATTGAAAATGCATTTTTTGATGAATAACATAAACAAGAATTCGTGAACGTCCTTAATTGTGTCGTCAGAGTAGAGCTATTAAGCTGATGTTCAAAGACTGATCAAGAAGATGACTTTTTCTTTATTTGCTGAATGTTAGCATTAGATTACGTAATTTTATATAAAGATTGTCTCAAGAAAGTTTCTAACACATTTTCCCGCAATCGTCAACTGGTATTCCCCTTGGATTGCCTAAGATATAGCTCGATAATGTCCAGTGACCATCCCAAAGGAAACTAACGGAGTTTTTATCAAGTACTGTTGTGTATTCCACTTTCTATTGGCGCATTTACCTTCAGTTCTTGACTATAATGTCTTGCATAACGTCCTTTTGAATACACAAAAGTTTGTCAAAAGCGCTTTCCTATGGCATTTTCGGTAATATGCATTGGTCATGTGACGCAGCGTAGTCCTAATTAACCATTCCGGAGGCTGCTTTCATAGTTGAAAAACAATGTTTTTTTCAAATTTATGGCGTGTACAAATTGTATGGACTTTCCAACTGTATGGAGGTGTGTTCAAGTTTTAATAATCTACATTTTCCTTATCGTTATGTACTACTGGAAAAAATAATTCTTATATTAATAGTTTAGTGTACCCCTAAAACAATTGGTTTTAACGCGTAGATTTTAAATCATAGGCAGAAGTATTAACGAATTTGAAGTCAGGCAGTTCGTTCGGCATATTCTGTTAACGTCATTATACGTAAGTTAGCGATGCAATTTGCTCCGCCGCTTAAGTAAAAAAGACTTCAAAGCATGTCCGTGATGTAAAAACGAGTTTGTTCCATAAATTTCCATCAGATTTCGCCGCCTACATGTAAACTAACTTTTGTTTCAGCCGTGAACAAATGTTATCATATATAAATCAGATAAACGATTGAATTTTTTAATAAAGCGCGGTGCTCCCATCCTTGGTAAGGCCAGTGTAACTCCTTGTTTATCGTTCGGGCATGCGAAGCTACCTCCACCCGTTCTTTTTTAATCAACGCGCAGTAACAGGTTTAACATGATAACGACCATTCTATAATATGCTTACCGTAAGGAAGGATTGCTTAGGCTGGATCTTAATAGCTTTGTCGCACAGAGTTATCTTTAGATGACGAGGATATTATAGGTTGTCAGCTTTTAAGTTCGTTTCTCCTAAGTTACCGGTAAATGCTATTATCTGCAGAATTCAATTTATCTTTGGTCTATTTGTGTATTTATTACTGTTATCCTTCAAGTACAATTATATTTTACAAAAAATTGAACAAGCCTTCTCTTTCTTCTCTTAAGTTGTCCACGAATTACGTCCACTTTAAATACAGTATTTGAATAGTGACTAAAACAAGACCTACTGTACGATTTCTTCACGATTGTGTAGCGTTTAATCTACTTTTTACTACTGCAGCGTATGCATTGTACCTATAGCAAAAATTCAAAAAATAAGTGAACGATTATCTCTACACGGCAAATGGGCAGCATGCCATCTTCAAACCCAGGACCCATACGTTATTTTAGTTTTCACATAACATGTTTACATAATAAGCATACTTCTTCAAACAGCAAATTCGATATAACTTAAGGGTTAAAGTTGAATAAAATTTTATTTGTCCGCAAATGCTTACAAGAAGAAGTGTACGTATGCATGACGTATCCAATAATGTATAAAGTCATCTAAAAAAGCGATAAAAATGCATCTTACAAGAGTAGTATTTTTTCTATGAAATGTAAATTCTGAAGGCAGGCGTAACAAAACTCAAGTAAAGCCGACAACACATTGTAACCGAATTGTCATGACATTGTACAAGTTGATAAACGGTATCACGATCCTCCCGAAGTGATCTTTTCTAACGTAGGGCATATGACATAGTTTCTCAAAGTATCTCATGTATCGTACCTATATTATAATTATGCTGACCATGGTGTTCAAGAAATGACTGCACGAAAAATATTCACCTGCTTTGTAGTGCCTGCAAAGTGAATCGTGGTATTACTTTTTCACCTCATTATTTGCCATTTCGTCCGAAATTGTTTTACCGAATTCACAAGATGAAATTCTTTAGGAAACTTATCAGTGCGCTTACACGGACTGTAGCTGTGCAGCAGTTAAAATCTATTTAATATAATATAGCTTTGTGATAAAATAAAATCTATTAGTGCACCTTGCCGTCGTTACTACACCACATAAACAACAATATATAAGAGCAGTGCAATTTTATTTATCCGCGGAGTGGTAACTTTCCGTAAAATAACTAATATTACGTTTCGCATGTTTTGCAGCATTACACTACCAAAGGAGCTATGCATATTTCGCCTGAAGGATATGGATTAAATATAAAAGTATAGTAGCCTACTGACTCTTCTTCTGAGCAACCATGCTAACATCTCTCTAAAAAACAGATGTCATGGTTGAAAATTAGCTTTATGAATAGGATTTTAGACCACGGTAGGTTGTGGAAGCCACTAATAATTCCAAGAATGAATAAAACGGAAACGATTCTGACGGAGATAGGCTTTCAACCGAAAACAAGCAGCCAAATATGTGCACAAATATTCACAATAGTAAAATTAGCGAAAAAAATTTTTCATAGGCCGTCTATAGCGATAAAATGTAATGATATTTGCAAATCAAGAATAAGAATAGTTCGATAATTAACAGAAATTTGAATAGTAAACAACACAATGAAAAAACGTTGTGCATGTCATTGTTTGAATTCAGTAGTTAGCACAGAGTGTTTGACTGCCCAGAACATTGAAATAATAAACCAACCCAGGGCAGGAATCTTATCCCAGGGGGTTTACACAACGTTTTTTTACCAAGCTGTCATAAATCTAAACGGGATGTTGAGTTCAAAATATAATAAAATAATCATGGCGCGATAAGCATAGAAATATGCATAAAATAACGACATTCACAATGGTACTGCGGCTAATTATTGTTTACTTTGAATATTTGCGTAAAACGCGTCCGCTCTTGGTCCATTAAGACATATCACGGTGCTGTCTGAGGAATTCCCTCGAAATCGCTTATCTATTCTCTCCCTTCGACAAAACACATTAATATGAATGCCACCCGGCAACGCAGGTAGCCTAATGTTAAGTTCCGAAAAAATCGCATTTCTAAATCTAACAAATAGTTTAGACCAAAATTCACATGCAGTGCTCATTTTATTCGTTACCATACGCCAAAGCCCATGTTTGATTTTAAAGGGCCTTATAGTGTATCCTTTCGCTTTGCTCTGACGTTAATCGTACGATCGTCCCCTAATGCTAGGTTTCAATAGGCAATTATCTAGTAGTTTGTACTTTCTTCAAAGGCGTTTCTTTACCGTTAAATCTTACCGACATCCAAGCGAAAATAATTTTACGTCCTTCTTTATTTTGTTAGGATTGGTTACAGCGAGCTGGAGCGTATTCAACGCACATAAGCTACGGTGTGCCGTCTCCTTTCATCTGAAGGACTCTTTTGGTAGATAGTTGAGGCTTTTAGCATAAACAAAAGCATGCCTTGCAATACCTTCTTAACATAGAATGGCGCAGATGCTATATAGGCACACGCATTTGACAACTTCATGCTGCCCTAGGACGCAACTGTAAGGGGGTCGCTCAGTGGTACATCGCATTTTATTCTCCTTTATTTTTGTATAATTCCAGCGTGATGCACAACTGTTAGGCTATTTACCTCAGTAGTCCCCTTCCCCTCCAACAAATTGATTTGGTAACCAAATATTATTGTTTGAAATTGCTCAAAAATATGCTTGTCACGATGTTACACCTACGATAACTGCATCGGTTGATTATTAAAGGCTTAACAACGACAGAACATGCATTACGCTCATCACTTACGACGATGGAAGTCCAATTTTGACGCTTTAGTTTTTCTTGGTATAATAATAGATAGAAAAATTAGATCGGCCTATTAACTACTAAAAAGTGCATGAAGTTCTCAGACAGGCAGCACTGGCCCCCATCTAGTATATCGATATTTTAATATACCGAATTACATACAAATTTTATTCTCAGTTAACGCTTGTAAATGACTCTGAACCGTACCCTTGGAGTGATTACAAGATATCATCGTTTCTGGTTGCTTTTTCTGTACGAAAATGGCAAGTACATGCTAGGGCCCCTCGCAGCAAGACAAGGAATACGTAAGCGTATAATTTTGCTTTTTATTATATAAACATTATGATAGTGATTAATGTTACTTATTTGGTTGTGAGTAATTCCATTAGAATTGGGACAAGGAAGTTCACATTGCATATGCCCGTCCTCAACCTGTGCTGCCATTCTTCTAATATTGAAGGCAAAAAAGGAAGCTTATGCGTATTAGTGTTAGCCGATGGATTTCAGCTCCAATATGCATATACAGTTTCACAATGACCCTGCATAAGAAGTATGATTAGACTTAATGACCGAATTTTTTATGTCACTATTAAGATGCAAATTCAGATACAAGGTAAGCATGGTTTGTAAGGCAGCCTAACTAGGATCCGGGAACAGAAACAGCCCGCAACACACGTAACGCTGCAGTAAATTCCGGAGAAATTACGTGTGTTCTTAAATTTAGGGTAAGACTTCGGTTTAAGTTAGGTTAGCATTTAATACCAAAGTCAGCTTTTCGGTTTAGTTCAGCATTATATTAATGACTTGTGTTCGGCTTTGTTCTAAATGTGAGGTGTAGGTTTAAGGCAGGACTAACGTGAGGAAATAACATAAGCAATGAAGGAAATTTGTAGAAGTAAGCGTAGAGTGGAAAAATATAGTGAAATTTGTTTCCCGCGGCCGCTGGGAGTAAGGTGTTCAGCATTTAAATTGAAGGTGTACATGGCGCTTCGCGCCGCGGAATATGCTTATCTAACTCCAAGACGGTAAGGTTGACCCAAGATAAGCTTAAGTAGGTGACCTCCTTACCACCATTTACGTTTTCGGGCATTTTGCGAAACCAGTATTTTTTAATCGTGATTTTTGGAATACGCTAAAGGATAATACAGAGTATGAAAATGTAGAGATATAAATCAATAACCTTTTATAATACAATGAAATACATATAGCAGTTACTAAAGTATATTACACTGTCTATCCTTATTCCCATCCAGAAAACCCCTATATCAACCGTTTCCAAAGGGCAAAATGCTGGGTCTAGGGGAACTGAGGCGTACTACATAAAATACTGTTGCCTAAACTTCTAGGCAGATGAACATCACTGCTCATTTGCGGTCGTTAATGGTGTTCATTTGTCTATTTGGAATACAGTTTATTTTTATGTTGAACGTAGTGTTAAGACATACAAATAATTTTCCTCTCCTGAATTCATCGTAACGCCACCCATTTTAAATATAGGCGGGCAACCAAGTCATCCTAACTGGATATAGGGGTGCTAGCTGCCTCCCTAATGTAGAAGGTTTTTCTTATTCAACTGAGCTCGTTGGCAGAATATAAATACACATTGTGCACAATAGTAGATTTCAGCAAAGTATCTGGCATTGAAAGTTCCAGCGGTGTTTGGACATCCGTTTTTAACATATATATCGGTTTAAATTAA